CCCCGCGGTGGCCATGGCCTCGGCTGCCGCCGCCGCTGCTGCCGCCCCTTACGGCCCCTGCGGAGAGGAGGGAACCGACCAGGGACGGGGAGGGAGCCGCTCGCCGAGGAGGCACGCTGACGGTCCCTCCCCTCGGCCACCCCCCTTTCCCAGGTCTCGGAGCAGGCTGGCAGGCGCGCTGTCGCGTGATGCGTTTTTCGTGCAGGATCGACCCGCCCGCGCGCTGGCCTCGAGGGAGCCCTCGCCCCCCTCTGTCTATCGACCCGTGTCGGAGGTTTTTGGTGTCGAGGCTACGCCGCCGGCGAGTCCAGAGGGCAGCCTCACGGACAGCGCGCGACGGGCTGACCACATGGCCCGACTCCTGGAAGCTGCTGTGGGCACACCTGCTGCCCCTGCCTCTGCCTGCCTGCCTGCCCTCCCCTTCTGCGCCCCGCCCGGGTAGACAGCTGGGGGCCCCTCTGGTGGCGCAGGAGGTGGGAGGGGCTCTGGAGGTCGTCCACGATCGGGGCCACGAGATGATCTCGGCCCCACCCTTCGCCTTTTGTAGGCGCTGCGGGTGCATCTCGGGGAGGCAGCCCCGTGGTCTCAAGGCGGACTGTGAGGGGACCCTGCCCGCCCCGAGCCGCTGCCCCACCCCAGCGCTCAGGGAGAGGGCCCGCCGTCGGGACAGGCTCATGAGTGGGTTGGAATATCTACTCGGGCGAGGTCCTCTAGCTTTGTTCGGGGGGGAGAATCGTTGCTCGTCCCCTGACTCTGGCCGCCGTGGGCTGCGGTGGTTCCTTTTTCGGTGATCTGGGAATTACCTGATGGTGAATTTCTGGTTCTGCCCAGGGGCTCCCAAGCGGCCCAAGTGGGCCCCGCTGGTACAGGCCATGGTCCGTAGCTGCGGCTGCGGGACGCGCGCCTTCGATGGCCCAACACACACACACAAACACACGCACGCACGCACGCACGCACGCACGCACGCACGCACGCACGCACGCACGCACGCACGCACGCACGCACGCACGCACGCACGCACACACACACACACACACACACACACACACACACACACACACACACACACACACACACACACACACACACACACACACACACACGCGCACGCACGCACCACACGCACGCACGCACGCACGCACGCACGCACGCACGCACGCACGCACGCACGCACGCACGCACGCACGCACGCACGCACGCACACACACCCACACAACACACACACACACACACACACACACACACACACACCACACACACACACACACACAGCGCGCACGCACACACACACGCACGCACGCACACGCACGCCACGCACGCACGCACGCACGCACGCACGCACGCACGCACGCACGCACGCACGCACGCACGCACGCAACGCACAACGCACGCACGCACGCACGCACGCACGCACGCACGCACGCACGCACGCGCGCACGCCGCCGCCGCCCGCCCGCACGCACGCACGCACGCACATACGCACGCACGCACGCACACGCACGCACACACCACGCACCCACACACCCGCACACCCACACGCCCACACACGCACGCACGCACGCATGCCCCCCCCCAACACACACACACACACACACCACACACACACACACACACACACACACACACACACACACACGCACGCACGCACGCACGCACGCACGCACGCACGCACGCACGACCGACCGCACGCACGCACGCACGCACGCACGCACGCACGCACGCACGCATGCACGCACGCACGCACACACACAAACAAACACACAACAACAAGCACACGCGCACAAACACAGATCAGCGAGCGCTGACTCCAAATAGGTAGGAGGACAGGAGGACGAGAGTAGGATGGGAGGAAGACGAACGGAGAACGGGAGCAGGACGGGAGGAGCACAATCAAACAAGCGCAAGCAAGCAAGCGGAAGCAAGCACGCGCAAGCGAGCAGAAACAAGCAAGCAAGAGCCAGCGGACAAGTGCAAGCAAACAAGGGCAAGCACGTGCATACGACTCATAGGGAAACATATGAATCCATAGGACTCGCCATCGGAAATAGTTGGGGGGAGCTATTGGAACTAAGGGGGGGTAAAAGGGGGAGCATTGGAACAAAGGGGGGGTCTAAAGACCAATTATTTATAATGAGCTAGGACTCCTATAGGGCAAACCTATTTGGATGATAGAAGCGCTCAGAGGTGGTGCATATTCATAGTCATAGGCATAGGCATGGGCACAGGAGTTAGGGGAGAGGCATAGACATAGGCATAGCCATAGGAATTGGGGGGCCATAGGAATCAGGGGGGGCAACGGACCAATCAGTAGGGTTTGAGTTAGAACTCCTTATGGCCAAGCCTATTTGGATTGCAAACACACGCAAACAAAACACACACACACACACACACGCACACACACACACACACACACACACGCACGCACACGCACGCACACAAATACACACACACACACACGCGCACTGCGACAGACCTGCGAGGGAGAGCGCCGCGCGCGCATCGCCATCTCGAGGCCGCGCGCGGGGAAGGGTCTCCGCCGCGGCCGGGCGGGTCGGGTGCACGCTACAGTCAAAACGTCTATTAAGGGCGGGTGGTACAGTAGAGTCCCGACCACAAGAAGCCTGCTACAAGAAACCCATTCCTGAGAAACCCAACCCTGAAACCCAACGCTACAGTCAAGGCGCGTATTATCGGGGATGGACAGTCTTTAGCAAAACGTAGTTTAGTGAAGCCGACCTCGGGCCAACACCTGGCGGGCGCAAGCCTGAAACGTGACGGCCGCGGAGCCCTCTCTAGAACCGAAAGCGGACATTTCACTAATCGACGTGTCTGGGTGGGGGCTCTGTCCACCCCCGATATTAAGGACGGGTGGCAAGGACGCAGAAATCTCGCAAGCCGAAGCTGGGACTTCTTGAGCGGAGGGCGGCCAGCGAAAGCGGCAGAGGATGGGCTTGGACGCAGAGGCAAGGACACAGAGGGCACCCAAGAGGAAGGCGCGCGCCCTTACTAGGCGCGTTGACTGAAACATCGATGACTGCTCCATGGACCTGGCGCGTGGCTGCCAAGTCCACCGATGGGAAAGCGCCCCCCCCCCCACCCCAATCATGAAGCCGGTGCCGCCCGACTTGGCGGCGGAGTGCGCCGATGTCGCGCGGGAACAGGACCCGCCGCTGAGCCGCGCGCCTCAGTTCACGCTTGCGCCTCCGCGGGAGGGTATCCTCGGGGGCGGGGTGGCCGGGGAGAGGGCCAGCGAGGGGGGCTCCCGCCCACCCTGCACAGTCCTCGTGCTGTCTTCTGTTGCATCATCGGGGGACCTTGTCTATCCCGTCGCGGCCCTATCCGCGACGAATCCGTGTCGAATCCAAATCGGTCTCGTCGGATCCGTGTCGAATCCGTGTCGAATCCGCGTTGACTACACGCCAGATCCGCGTCGAGGCCGCATCGAGCCCGCGCCAGGCACAAGAAAAGTCACAATTTGGGGGGGACAGGCGAGGTCCCCCGAAGATGTAACGCAAGCTACTACGAGGACCGCTGAATCAGGAGCGAGAGGGCTTTTCTGGTCACGGCGAGCATCGGCCACATATATGGAGGCCTCCCAGATGGGGTCGGAATAGATGGGGTCGGAGGATCGCGCCGCATCGGCGATACATCGGCGACGCATCGGCGATGCATCGGTGATGCACTGGCGTTGCATCGTCGACGTCGGCAATGCATCGGCGACGTCGACGTGGAGAAAATCAGGCCCATCCTTGAGACGCATCGGCGATGCACCGGCGATGCGGCGCGACCATCCGACCCCATCTACTCCGACCCCATCTGGGAGGCCTAGACGCAAGCTACCACGAGGATCGCCGATTCGGGAGCGAGGGGGCTTTTCTGCTTACGGCGAGCATCGGCCACGCACAGGGTCCTCGACCCATGTCTAAAGGCGCGGCCCGCACGCCAGGGCCCCGCTCCTGAGCGCCACGTGGTCCGTGTGTTTCGGCACCCTGGCTGTGCTCCGTCCCTCCTCCTCCTCCTCCTCCTCCTCCTCCTCCTCCTCCTCCTCCTCCTCCTCCTCCTCCTCCTCCTCCTCCTCCTCCTCCCCCCTCTCCGTCGCTGCCCCGCGGCTTCCGGGTCAGAACTTCGGGCATGGACAAAAAAAACCCTTTAGCAAAACGTGGTTCAGCGGAAACGACCTCGGGCGCAAACCTGGCGTGCGCAAGCCTGGAAAATGATGGCCGCGGCGTCCTCTCGACAACCGGAAACGGACAATTCACTTATCGACGTGTCAGGGAGGGGGAGAGCATGCTACGCATGGAATGAATTGAGCAGAGGATGAAGTGTTGGATCCGTAAGTGGATCAACCTAGACACTATGATGATCAGAGGCTATGATGCATTGGTTGTGGGTCGGCTGAGGCCCACCTGTGCCCACCCCATCCCGTCTACAGGGACTTCGCATCTCCCTTTACTGGCAGGATGGGGAGACAATCCGCCACCCTTGGCACTGCACGTACTGTGCAGGGTTCGTGGGGATTTTGTTGAATTCTATGACTGTCCCCTCCCTTCCCATCTCACCCCTCCGGCTACGCGCCTGGTCCTGGTCCACCCCCAGAACTCGGCTCTCTGGCGGTCGTCCGGGGCAAAGCACCCCCGAACGCCTCTCGGCGAGGCGCAGCTGCCGGAACGCATCCCGAGGCTGCCGCCGAGAACCGACGACCCCCCTCCCGAAAACCCGACACTTCGAACCCGAAAGAAGAGGCCTTCTAGCTAGGGTCCGATGAGATGGGTTCGGAGAATCGCGCCGCATCGGCGATGCATCGGCGACGTCGGCGAGATCAAGCTGCCTCGCAGATGCATCGCCGATGCGGCGCGATCCTCCGACCCCATCTGCTCCGACCCCATCTATCGAAAAGAAAAAACGCATCAACATAAGCTTTTGGCGCTCCGCGCGGATTTCTTCGGTCGGCGCCCGACCCCCCTCCCTGGCGCGCGGAGCGCGCCAGGGGCGGCGCCGGAGGCGCCGCCTGGGGGCCCCAGCGCAGATCCAAGAAATCCGCGCGGAGCGCCGAAAAATTATTTGTTTCTCCTTCGAATCTGGAGGCCTGGAGAACACCTCGAGGCCCTCGAACCTCCCTCCCCCAGGGATCCGCCCCTGGGGCAGGGGCTTGGGTCTAAGTGCGGAGCCAGCCGTCCCAGAGCTCGGAGAGGACGCCGCGGCCGCCGCCGAGCCTGTCAGCGCGGCGCGGGGAGGAGGCGAGCGGGCGCCTGCGTGACGCTGCGACCCACGGGATATCTCGCAAGGCAAGGAAGGCAAAACCACAAACAGACAAATCGTCTGCACTCGCACAAACGACTATAGACAAGCGCGTTCCGCTACTCGCAAAGTAACTACTCGCAAATGGCCTGCATCCGCGGCGGAGGATCTACGATAAATTACACCGAAGCGGACATGTGTGTGTGTGTTTTCGGACGTTTGTGAGTAGGCACTTAGCGAGAAGTGGAACGCGCTCGGTGATACTAGCGGCAGGAGGAGCGACATATGCATACACGTTCGACGGCCCCCCCTGGCGGCGCCCCAGCGTCGCCCCTGGCGCGCTCCACGCGCCAGGGAGGAGGGGCCAGCGCCGCTCCAAGAAATCCGAGCGGAGCTCCGAAAGTTTGTGCTCCTGCCGTTTTGGTTCCTCGAGGAAGGCAAAACCTCCAGAAAACCATACTCATTCAACTAATGATGCCCTCTCTGGGGGCATCCTGGGAAGGCGCTGCCGGGGCGACCTCGGAGCCGTGCTTGGGTCCCCTGTAGGGCCTCCTGGAGTCGTATTCTGTGCCATCTCGGGCCGATTAGTGCCAGCTGGACGGGACCGCGGGCGCGGTGGGGGGATGATCTGGGTCGCTGCAACGGCCCCACTATAAGTAACAGAAAAGAGAATTCCTTCTGGGTTCCCATATCAGGCGGCCCGAGTTGTGTCCTTGCCTCCTTCGTCGTAGATGGAGCACTGTGAATATTCAACACGTAATCCCACAAGCCCTTTGGATTAGGTTGGTCTAACGATCATCTGTGTTTCCTCATCCAAAACCTATTTGGGGAGGTTTGCCTCCCCCCCTCCCTGGGTGGGGTCACATGGGTTAGAGCGTCCAAGATGGCTCAAGATGGCCACAAGAGGGCTAGAAGATAGCTGAAGATAGCCGTCGATGGTTCAAGATAGGTTCCAACATACCTCCAAGAGGCCCGACGAAGGCCACAAAATGATTACAAGTGCTCCCGGAGCTCCCTCTGGACCCCTCCGAGGGTCCCAAATCTTCCGATAATCTAAGGTCAATCAATTAGTTGTCTTCTCGCCTTTCGGCTTCAGATGCGATTTTGAGGCCCCGAGATTGCCGCAAGATTGCCCAAGAGAGGCCCGAGGGGCCGAAGAGGCCCCCCAGACGGCCCCAAGAGCGTCGAAGAGCGGCCCAACAGCGCCCACAGAGGTCCCCAATGAGCGATTTTGATGGCCCTAGAGGGGCCGGGGGGGGGGGGGCGGCAAGCGTCACGATAGCACCAAGAGGCGGCACTCCAGGGCTCCCGACAGGCCCCCAAGAGAGCCCCAAGAGGGCCCCAAGATGGCCCCAAGACTCCCCTAAAAGCCTCAAGAGGACACCAAGATCCCCAGAAAGAAGCCCAAGAAGACACCAGGGGCCGATGTTGAGGGCTCTGTACTCGTCCTCGCTGCCCTCCTCCTCCTCCTCCACATCCCCCTCTTCGTCCTCGTCCTCGTCCTTGCCCTCATCGTCTCCTAGTTTCTGCTCCTCCTCGCCCTCGTCGTCGTGGTTGTCGTCGTCGTCGTCGTCGTCGTCGTCGTCTTCCTCCTCCTCCTCCTGCCCTCGTCCCCACGCGGGCCCCTCCCCCCGTGGGCAGGGGCCTTGCACCCTGTTCTCACGGTGCCAGTGCCAGACGCTCCACGGGGCACAACGTCAGGAGCTTTTTATCCGCCAGCCGGGTGAGGTGCAACCGGCCGCTCCCTCTGCGAACCAAGCGGCTTCGCGTCCTGGCCTTGCCGCTGGTGGCGTCAGCAGCGCCCGTGGCAAAAAAGTTGGTTCCCAAGCACGGGGATCGCGCAGTTGGCGGAGAGGTGGGGCCGCGTGGCCCGTGGCTCCCATTGGACCTTGTGTCCACTACCCCTGGGGTGCAAACCCAGTTGCGCGTGCTAGGTGATTCGGCAGGGGTGAGGCCGCTTGAAGGTCCCTCTACGCACCAGCCGTCACGCTTAGGCTGGGCACGGTCTGCGCGAACCCCTGAGCAGTCCTCCCGCAGACCCTTCCAAAAAACTCAGCTCGGTGGCCAATCACAAGGAGGGCATCGACCGTGACCACGCAGGGGCAAGTCCCAAGCATGCAAGCGCCAAAGACGAGACGGGAATACTGACGGAAGGAGTCAGGGAGAGGGAGAGAGGAAGAGAGAGAGGTAGAAAGAAAGCACGGAGGAATCGCAAATGCTGAACAGCTTGGCGTTTTTTGATTGCTTACACTGCCCTTCCTGCACGCATAGGCCCTCACGTAAACACTGGAGAACAATCAGATAGAGTCTGGGTCGGCAGTGGGCCAATACAAGTCTACAAGACGGGTCCACCTCAGAAGGTACTCGATCCGCCGGATGCACGTTTCTCTGCTCAAGAGACCCCGTCACCCGAAGGGACCACTACACCGGCATGTGACTGCTACACTGGATCATTCCTCGGATGAAGGATGAAACAGTCGAACGCAACCGTTCTACGTAATTCTCCCCACGCTCGCGTCTGGATAACGCTCCGCATGTCTTCTTGTCGGAAGCTTTGTGGAGGAGATCGAGCAGCGAGAGACTTCGTAGGAATCAGCAAACAAGTTCTTAGTCTGCACTTCTGAATCGCTGTCGCCAGGCCGTCGACGATGCCTCACTGCCACACTGCTGAACATCCCGATGTGATCCGCATAACACAGCGCACAATGCTGCCACGGTGATCGTGCGAATGTCCACCCCGCGCACGGCACAGAAGCAGCAGACACGCTCGGCATTCCGATGCGCAGGGCTGCAAAAGACCATGCCTTCGAATCACGTCTGACTACCTACCAGACCACCCCAACCCAACCCGAAGACCCGAATTTGACCCGAATTTCGGGTTGGGGGGGGTACGGATACCATGTGTTTTTTCAACGTTCCCCGACCCCCCCCCACTGGAAATCGAGGATAAATTTGGGCCTTCGGGTTGGGTTGGGGTGGTTTGGTGGGTGGTGAAAAAGACCATGCCTTCGAATCACGTCTCGGTTGGTGAGCTCATTCCAGACCGCCGCCCCTCCGAGGCCTCAATCCAAAAGCCAGGAGCACGCCGAAGGGCACCCGGAGCCAGGCCGTGACCACGCCTAGCGCGATGGAGTCCTGAGCCACGAGGCTGTGTGAGAGGAGATGAGCATCCTGGGCACGTGCGCACACGTTGGCTTCGGGGTGTGGCCCGATGAGCTAACCACAACATGTAGCCGCTGCTTACGGCAACTCGCCTGCAACACAAACTTGTGACCACCGAGTCGCACAGATGAAGCAAGGGCACATGACGACAGCGAACGACGCATAATATGACAAATTCTAGACGTTTCGCGTATCCCCACCAGCCCATCCAGAAACGATGCCCAGGAAAGCTGAAGGAAGAAGGGAAGAAGAGACTCACACAGTGAACCGGAGCGGGCAACAACGGTGAAATGGGAGATCTTTTGTGGCTAAGGGTGCAAGTGTTACTGCTGGTGCTCTTGCTCCTGCTGGTGGTGCCAGGCTGCTGCTGTTGTTGCTGATGGTGCTGGTTCTGGGATGATGAGTAGACGGATAAGGGGGAGGATGAGGAGGAGGAAGAGGAGGAGGAGAGGAGGAGAAGAAGAAGAATACTTAGAATAAGAAGGACAAGGAGAAGGAGGAGGAAACAGGGCGGACATATGATCCTCTTAGGATGTCTCTTGGGGGTTGTGTTGGAAACCTCTTGGAGCGTCTGGTGGGGATCTTGGGGGATCTTCGTGAAGCCTCTTCGGGTCTCTTGGAGGTCTCTTGAATGCCTCTCGGAGCCCCTTGGGATATCTCGTGGGCGGTTGTTTCGAAGCCTCTTGGAACGTCTCGGGGGTCTCGTGGCGGTCCTGAGGACTCTTGGGCGTCTTGGGTGCCTCGGGGAGGCCGCTTGGGGTCCTCTTGGGGGTCTTTTGGGGGTCTCTTGGGGCCATTTTGGGGATATCTTGGGGCCATCCTGGGGCCTCTTGGGGCCTCCTGGGCGCCTCTTGGGCCCGTCTGGGCTCCTTTGGGGGCCTTGTCGGAACGTTCTTGGAAGCTTTAGGGGCTCTCTCGGGGCCATGTAGGATGATATCGGTCAACGAAGCGTGGTTCCTCAATAACGCCCCCCCCCAGGAAGCCAAAATGGGGCCAAGACCGTAGTAAAACCAATGATTTCAGCTTCCTCGCCGAGGCCGTTTTGGACGCTCCGACACCTCGCGGAACCCCCTGTCCAGGTCCATGGGGAGGGGGTAGGGGGAGGGGTAAACCCCTCCCCGAAGGGGAAGAAAGAGGGGTGGACGGGGAAACGCTCTAAACCACCGACGCCCAGAGGGCTGGTGGGACTCTGAGCATTGCCAAAGTATGCCACATGGACTTGTAAAGGGCAACGTTGTCCAATCTTGCTGTGTCATGTTTCAGGAGACGGCACTACCGCAACTGAGAGATTATGGGTACGACGTGCGACAGAGGCGGTTTACGCCGCGATGGCATATGGCATGGCCAGTGCGCATTCCATGGTACACTCATGTGTACGAGTGCGCATATGAATTACGATAGTGCGGCGAGAACCAAAGGGTCGGGGGCTTCCAAGAGGGGGGCGTCCGAGATGGGGGAAGCGCACGTCATAGCCAGCAGCATTTGCGCGGCCCAGGGGGGGCCAGGGACGCATGAGAATGCGAAGATACGCCATGAAATCTGGGGAGACCACGTGGCCCCCGCAGTGATATTCCCCCCCCCCCCCCCCAGTCATCACCCCCCTCTTGGCCGCTCCCGAAGTGTAACATCCGTGCAGGCCGCGGTGGTCAGTGGAGGGTGGCAGCCGCGACCGGAGCTTCTGCGACGACGGGCCGAAATGTCATGCTGCGCTGCGCGGCCGGCGCGGTGGGGAGCCCCCCCCTGGACGGGCACGTGTCCGGATGCTCTCACAGCAGTGGAACCTGCTTCGATACGGTCGGGGCGTTGACCGAAGGAACCCTGAATAAGGAACGAGGCCCCTTTTTCCCATAAGTTAAACTTCGATGTTCCTTGGAATACCTAAGGCAGACGGTAAAACAATCAGGGAACACCGAGCCCCTCGCCAACGAGAAGGGTTCCTTCTTCAGCGCCCCGACTGTAGGGCAGTCGGACCTGGGCCAGAAGAGCATCCCTCAAGAACATGAGACACCCCTCGGACGGCCAAAGCACACAGAGCATTCGAGGTCACCCTGCCCAGGATGCACGGGATCATCCAACAAACACAAAGAACACTAGGGCACCCTCCCCGAACGGACCACGATCTTATACCTCGGCCCGAATGTATGGAACCTATACATCGGAGATGTAGGCTAACTTGCCACCAGCATGTAGTACAATGCCTCAACGCTCATACTGATGTAAGCGTGACGGGGATGATGTACCAATGTGTCGCCTCTACGGCGCCCTCGTGGACCTCTGGAAAGCCAAACCCGCCCAATCCGACTCCGACGTCTCCCCGATGCCTTCCAAGAAACATTGAAAAAGGCCCAGAAAGCTTGGGAGCGTGTCTGAGTCCTAATGAGGATGAGTGTGGGCCAGTCCGAGTAGGCAAGTCCTGAGTAGGTCCAAGCGCAAGTGAGTCTGAGCATAAGCGGCCTGAGCAAAAGAGAATCTGAGTATGAGTGAGTCAAGTGTGAGTTGGTCTGAGTATGACTGAGTCTGAGTGTGAGCGAGTCAGGTGCTTCAGCTCCCACTAACCATGCAACCATTATCACACTACTAGCAATACCCCCACACGTGAACACACATATACATATGAGAATGGGCAGCCACAATCCGTCGGAAACGAGGCTCGGCCACACGTACCCATTTGTAGACATGCATCGGTGATGCATGATGTCGCAAACAATTTCTACGAGTCGGCGTTCTGAAGTAGCCTCCCAATGGGAGAGACAATTCCAGGTCCAGATTACAGTCGGATTTCCTTGGACAGGACACGCGAGAGGACACAAGACCCTTCCGAGGGCCACGCTGCCACACGAATGCAGGGAGCATGGGTCGCGAGACACAGGACACAGTGGTACCCTCAATTTGGCAGGGCCGACCAGCAAATCCTGGCCGACTGTGAGCCCATCCTGGAGATTGCACCCCTTCCCTGCCATCTCTCCGGAGCGCGCAGCGGGTCCAACGGCACCGGCGGGAGGCCCCGCGGCTCATTGTGAGCAGCGCGATGGCGTACCACAAAGGACCCCCAAAACAGCTCCCCAAAATAGAGGGCTGGAGATCCACCCCGATAATAAGCACCCCGACAACGCAACCGTTTAGTAAACGCACCCGACGAAGGAACCAAACAAGAAAGCGCTGTTTCGTAAACGCACGGGGCCGTTTCGTAAACGCCGCTTATGGGGGTCGGGTTTTTTTTGTGCAATCCTTCGTTCAAGTGAGGGCGGGGGGGCACGATTTGTTGCCCCTCCCGGCGGCAGAAGCAGCAGTCATCCAATACAGGGGTGTTGTTGAGAGATCGCCGCATGCATGCATGTGTTTTTGTTTGCCGTATCGCATTGCACGCAGTATTGCGTCGATCATGCACTTGCTGTGTTCGCATGCCGCTGCCATTTTCATTCGAGTCCTGACGAGCCCCAGCAGGGGCGAAACGTTGACACGCGTAGTGAAAAGGCACGGGCTTGAGAGCGCGATACGAGTAAGGTGTGCAGGGATCCCCAGAGGGTGCCCGAGGAGCCCACGACGCCTCAGACGTGAGCTCCCCGCCTCTTCCGGGGGTCGGCGGCATGGCGCACGTCCCTGGCATCCGCCGGGCGTCGGCGCGTGTGAGCGGCTGCCGTCTTCGTCGTCGTCCTGGTCGCCAAGTCCCGAAGACATCTAGGAAACGAACCAAGCAACGACACGCCGTACAAAAAACGTCGTGCAGCATCGGTGCCCTCCCCTCTTCCTTGAGCAGGGGCCGACCGTCCCGGCAATCCTATAGGCCTACCACGACATGTTCCTAGAACCCAGTAATGTTCCAAGAACAAAAACCAGTGTTCTTAGAACACAAGCCCGATGTGATAAGACAAGACAGTCCCAGCCAGGCATGTTCTAAGAACATTTCGTGCAAACCACAGAAGGTGCTTAGAACATTGCTTGGTTGACCTGTAGGCACGCCAGGACGCTTCGCCACTGCTTGACTTCCCCTCCCCGAGAGGGGGGAGGGTACGGGTGACTCGGTGGCCCTCCCTCCCCTCCCCTGGGCGGCCCCCCCTGCCGTGGAGACGGGGGACAAGGGGGTGTGCCTACCTGCTGGCAGGGGCACTCGGGACCCCTCCCTCCGCCTCGGCCCTGGCTCTGGCCCGTCTTGGAGTTCCGAAGCGGTGCGGTGACAGACTGTGCGGCGACCTCGAAACCCCGCAAGACCTCATCGCATGTTCTTGGAGCCCAAGAATCTAAGAACGAGAACGATGTCCTTAGAACATACACCCGATGTGTGAAAAAAAACAGTCCCAGCCAAAAGTGTTTTGAGAACATTTCGCGCAAAAGCCACCAAAGGTTCTCCTAGAACGTTCTTTGGTGGGCCTACAGGTGAGCCAGGACGCTTCGCCACCGCTTGGAACTCAGCCCCTCGGCCTCAGCTCTGGCCCCAGTCCTGGCCCCGACCCAGGCCCAAGCCCCAGCCCAGGCCCAAGCCCCAGCCCCGACTCTGGCCCCAGCATTGGCCGCGGTCGCTGGCCTCCTCCTCCTCCTCCTCCTCCTCCAAGGCATCTGGGTCAGGAGCGCCCGCACAGGTGCCCAGGGCGACAGGCGCCCAGCTCCCACACCACCTGCATGCCTCTTCTCAGAGACATCCCTCTCACATCTTACCTCGTTTCCGATGGCTTCTAGATGTCTAAGTGTGGGCTGCTGGCTCCTGCTCGTGCGCGTGATGGTCGGCAGCCGCCTTCGAGTGCTCCAGTATAACCCCTTGCACGCGTCCAGCGGGGAGAGGCTCACCGCGATCGCACAGGCCTGCCGAGCCTACGACTTCGTGTGCCTGAACGGCACGACTGCCAAGGGCCACGGACGTGAGAGACCCTGGGAGGCACGCTGGCGGAAGGCAGGATATCACAATTGGTGTATAGAGAGCGGGTGGGCTCGCGGGCCGTATACCAACAAGAGCGCGGGCTGCAGCATCATCCTGGGGG